TACAGACCAAAATGATTGGAATCCTTGAGATTTGAAGTTATGTTGATTATAGAATTTTCTAAACAAAATATACGATTCTCTTAAATGATAAAGTTACCCTTTAGCTTGAGGATCTTGCTTGATTATTTTCCTTGTTATCCCTAACCCCTAAATATCATCCCTCATAACGTATTTTATATGGATGGGGGGAATGTCACTCTCCCTTTAAGTAGTGTCAAAAGAAAGGGCAAGGAGATGGGAAAATGGGATGGTGGAAATGTGTTGTGTATGAACAAAAATGCTCCCCAAGCACAAGGAGATTTTTGTGGATCGTCTTTTGCTTGGAGGTACTCCAAGGTCGTTTCCATGGGGAAGGATGTGAACCAAAGGGAAAGTGATTTTGGGTGAAAGAAAGTGTTAAATATTTTGTTGTTGAAAGTTGTTTGGTGAAGCGTGTTTTCGTGAAAGTGAAATGAGAAACAAATGTTGGCTAATCCAAGAGGTCACTCCAATAGGGAAACCATCTCAACTTGAATCCCTCCTCGAGTATAAATGTACGATTGATTCGTGGGAAGCTAGGGATAAGATGAGTGAGTATCTAAGCATAAACTGTGACTAGGCCTACGGAATATCAAAGACTCACCAAACTTATCCACCCTCAACCCAGTCAAACCGAACCATTAAACTCTGAAAGAAGGGAGGAGAATGAGTTGAAATGGCATTCCCAAGTGGTGGTTCCCCTTAGTTTTGTCAACTAAAGGATTTAGCTACTCATGCTTGGGATGAAATTAACAATGAAATGAGAATGCATTGCAAAGGACTGAAGTTCTTGAGTAACTAAATGCAAGCAAACATAACCTATAAGTGAAAGCAATGAATACCCATTTTACAACTAGGAAGAATGAAGAACATAAATGCATTAATGGTGAAAGCTTTAAAAGGGAATTAAACTTGCAATGAACTTGTAGGAACTAGCATTAATGACATTCAACGAAGCTCTAAAGATTCTTCCAGGAGATTACAAGACAATGTATTGAAGAAAATGTAAAAATCTCAATTTATCTCTCTAGAAAACTATTCATCATCCTCTACCCAGACTCTCTCTCTCTATCTACTGTGTAAAGTATATGGAATGCTGAATAATGGAGTCATTTCCCCCCAAAAACGTCCATAGTCTGCTCCTTCAGTTGAGAGATGTGATTTTCATCCATAGGTTACAGCAAGGAATGGGCTGGACAAGGAAGTGCAGACCCCTATCTTCACACACAACAACTCCCTCTTCTCTCTCCTCATTGATCAACATGGCTCCAAAAAGAGGTGTGAAAGGGATGAACAGTGTTGTGGCGTGTCAAAGAAGTTTGGGAGATATGATGGTGGGACCCTTAAAGCAGCAGAGGATGATCTGTAGTTTTTTGGGCAGATTCAGCAAAGCCTACCAGTACGCGTATGATGAGATAAAAATATTGCATATTTCAAGGCCTCATTACATGAATTTTAACTCAACTTTTGCATCTAAGTACTTAGAGTTAGTCAAAATTATTAATAATATTGAATTTTTGATGTTGCAAGAAATTATAATGTAAATCATGTATTTTTGAACCTTGCAACCAAGTATGGATGTGTGGTGAAGGCATGAACCCATTAAATGAGGATTGGGAAGCTTGGAAGGTGAAAAAACCAAGAGAAATGGGTTTTGGAAGGCTTAGCCCACTAGTTTCCCAATGCTTTGACACAATACCGCTATTTTTCCCATTTTTTACCATGATCAACTTCGAATCTGAAAACGTTCAAAACATGAAAGGTGTAGATCTGGATGTCTTTTGTAATGTGTCAACATTTCAGCTCAATCCAATGGTTGGATCAGAAGTTATGCCGAGTCTACGAAAACTGGTCCGGAGCAGAAGAGTACCAGTATGTCGTACCGGTGCGGTTCCGCCTCTAAAGTTCGGGGTACCAGTACCCAGTACCGGTATGCTCACCTAGAGTGCCCAAAACGACTGTTTTCATGCTCCACTTGCTTGGGGGTCCCACCTACACTTCTCTCACTTGCCCCCAACATTTTCTGCACATTTTCATGCCTCCTACACCCTTGATGGAGACTTTTGAGGCTTGGCATTCAATGAGGAGAGAGAGAAGGGGTGAAGCTTGGGGAGTGCAGGCCAAGCCTGCCATACCTATCCATTCAGCCCCCTATTGATGGACGATCTTTCACACAGCTAGAGGGAATCCCCATGGATGAAATTTGAAGGCACACACTCCATATATTCAACATTCACCAAGCATTGAAGGGTGGCTACCTAAGCTTAGAAAATCCAAGGAAGAATAAGATGAATAGTGTAATAGGAATTTATGTTTTTGCATTCTCCTTTCCATTTCAGTTGTAGTAAGCTTTAAATATCTTGTAATCTTTATTTCTTGCACTTTAATCTTAGCTATTTCAAGTTCATTGCAAGTTTAGTTGTGTAACTTAGAATCTACCATTGTTGTTTTCACTTCATGTTTTTCTTAAAATGGGTATTGCATATTTTCTTCTTAGTTTAAGTTTTCTTTCATTAAGTTGAGTTGCAATCTTCATTTCAATATTATGTCTCTTTACATTATATATTTTATTCTTGCTTTCATGAGTAGCTAGATTTTAAGTTGGCTAATTCAAGGGAGAACTTCTCTTGGGTTTTCCATTTCAACTCATTTCCTTTCCTCCTCTCGGTGTACGATGGTTCGGTTTGACTGGGTTAAAGGGTGGATGAGGTTGTGAGTCTTTGATATTCCGTAGGCTTGGTCACGGTTTATGCTTGGATCCTCACTATTTCATCCCTAGCTTCCCACAAATCAATTGTTCGTCTATGCACCATTGGAATGACCTCTTTGATTTAGCCAACACTTGTATTATTGTATTTTCATTCACACACTCCAATCACCAAAACACAAACAAAATATTTTACATTTTTCCTTTTGCAACAAAATCACCTTCTCCACACTCGAACTTTCCTTCCCCGGGGAGATGACCTTGGAATACTTTTCCAAGTAAAACAATGACACACAAAAGACTCCTTGCGCTTAGAGAGCACTTTTGTTCACACACACTTCACATTTTGTACATTTCATATTCGACCATTCCATTGCCCCATCTCGTGCATCATTCCGAGAGAGAGTGACATTCTCTTATATACATAAGTCATAGACACATTGAGGGATGGCATTGAGAGGTTAGGAATTTGCAACGAAATACAACCAAGCATTTGTTTGGTGATGGGACCCTCAAAGCAGTAGAGGATGATCTGCTGATTCAGCAAAGCGTACCGGTAAGTCAAACTCCAGAGGCTTAAGCGTACCGGTATGGTTTGCTTGATTTTCTGATTTCTTGATTTCGTGATTTCTTGAGCTATCCACATGCCATCCTTTCATCCTTATTCACCTCAACATATTTGGGAAGGCCTTAAGAAGCATTATTTATCACATCTTTTCCCACAAAGATCAAATATCTTCGTTAATAGCTGACGTAGTGCAATTCTAAACATTCAATCCCCAAAAGCAAGTGCAAAAGAGATGATTAGCACATGGTATATGCAATGTTTTTGTGCTAATCACACCCCCCAACTTGAGTTTTGCTAGTCCCTTAGCAAAATTTATGTCCCACAACAAGATAACAAGTATAACATAGAACATTCCATTTAAACAAGCAGTTCAACCAATCAATCAAAATATAAAAATCATAATGCAATTATCAAAATAAAATTGGACAAGATTGAACAAAAACTGTGGTTTCTTCCATTAATGTGCTTTGAAGTTGGAGTACAAGGATTCAATCATCAAAAAGAACAAAATGGCCTAAAACCTACAGATTCTTACAAGGATTCAATCATCAAAAAGAACAAAATGGCCTAAAACCTACAGATTCTTCTACCAGGCCAATGAATCCATTCTAATTACATACACTCCAATACAAGCGAAAGAACAAAAACTACAACAACCTATTCCTCGTCCCCACCATCGTCATCATCACTGGCATCATCCTCATCATAGTCGCTTTCACCCTCCACATCTTCTTTAGAATCATCCTCATCTTCCTCCACCTGAACCACTGTCGAGGTGGAGGGAATAGATGTAGAAGGGCCAGTAGTAGCGGTGGAGGTCCTCTTGGGAAGGTGTGCACAAATAGCTCATTCATCATCGCCGCCATGCTCTGCACAGATACCTCAATCCCATGGACCGTAGCCTTCAATGCATCGAGGCGTTGAGGGATAGAGCGTTTTGGTGCAGTTGTGGTTGGGCTAGTGGATGAAGTTGGTCCAGGGGCCCCAAAATCAGAACCCATTGTCTTAGCTCATTTCCCCCGACTCATTGCATTTCTCTTTTTGCTACTAGTCCTGGCAATCGCCCCAGTGTTCGGGGGAGAGAGCTTGTCAAATGCATAAGTCTTCACTTTGAAATGCATGCACATCCGGGTTACAAAATTCTCGTACAACAAATTTGTTGTAGGCTTCTGTGTATTGGCAAAGTCTTTCATGACTTCCCATATCACAAGGGCAAAGTCAACAGTTTTCCCCGACATAACAATGTCCAACAGACCCAGCTTGTTAACATTTGGTTTCTTTTCAGAATCCCTTGGTAAAAGATTGTAATGGAGAAGCTTATTCAATAGTCCATACGAATGTGACAATCCCCCACTTTGAACAAGTCCCTTGAATTTACAAGGGTCCTCGTACATCAATTCTAAAAATTTAGAAATTGTCATGGCTTGGGTTTTGCGATGAGGATAGGGTGGTGGAAAAATTGGTGGCCTCTAATAATTCCCTAGAAACGTGGTAATGACATCAGGGGTCACTACAAACACTTTTCCCCGAACATTCATTTTTAACACTTCCACCTCATTCACATCCACCACCCTAAGAGTTTGATAGAACTCTCTACACATTGACAAATTAAAACCATCAACAGGTTCAAACCAAAATTTCATACCATGTGCCTCAATGATTCAAACAACTTCATTCCATTGGGTAAGGGAAATGTGATCGATGTACCTTTTCACAGGTCACATTTTTCTCTTGGATCAATTTCATCCATGCCTCATGCCTTGCCTTTTTCCTTTGCTCACTTTGGTTCTCGCTTGGCCCTTCGGGTTGAGGGTTGTCGAATTCGGGCCTCTTAGTTTGGGCTATGCACAACAACAGTGCCCCCATTGTCAGAAAAGCGAAGAGAGTCAAGAGGAGACCTTCAATCAAGTCCATAGCATCTTGGGGAATCATTACAGGACGAGCCATGTGAGAGAATTTAGGAGAAGTTGATAATTAAAGGGAAATGAAGGCTTGAGGGATTTTCGGCACCTAGGGTTTCCAAAATTTGATTTTCCTAAATCACATCACTAGGGAGAGTATTTGAAGGGTTGAAGGAATATGAAAGGGATTTGGAAGTCTAAGGGAGAATTTGGGTGAGAGAGTAATGAAAAAGGGGGGTGTAGTTTAAGAGGGAAGTGAAAGTGATTCCTGAAATAAATCGATTAAAAACCCTAACTTTTTGAATTCCAGGTTAGGCGTACCGGTACGTCGCACTCTAGAGGCCTCAGCGTACCGGTACGGTTTGCCATAGTTGCAAAAAAATTCCTGTTGGGCAACCCTTCCCAGTTATTTTTCATTTTAAGACCTCCCCTATACCTCCTAACACTCTCTTTGTGACCTCTACTCCACCCTAAAAATGTACTCCACTTGTAAACCACAATTTGAGCCATCATGCCCAATTAATTACCAAAATTGCAATGTGATTTAAAATTTTGATGCATTCAATGTACAAGGAATGGATTTCTAACTTTAACTATCAAAATGAACACCCAAAATGCAAATCACATAATTAATAACATGGGCATTCCTAATTCATCCCAAATATTATAAACTTGAGCAATATTCCCCTATTCTGCAGGTATGGAACGATTTAACACATTTCTCAGATGATTGAAATAAGCACACATAAGTAAAACCATAGTCTAAAATACTAGTCTAAAGTATGCACCTACAAATTCATTTTCAACTCGTGTGTGTGTGAATTAAAAAAGTAATTTGAGCATTTCCGCAATAGAATTCACATTCGAATAGCTAGCCAAATTCAGCTTCAATGCAAAAACTCCCCAAAAGTCACTCTTAAACAGAGAAATACACTCGAGTTATCCTGGTATGCACTCCATTTGTACATCTGAGATAGAATCTTGTGTTCAAAACAAAATGTGTTCACATGTAATCCAAAAAAGAAGTTCATATATGAAAATGAAGCAAACTTGGCATAATCTCATGAAAGGAATGCTAGGGCATTGGACAGTAAGACTAACTCATCATTTTCTTTAATGTTGTGCACCTCCCATGCTTCTCTAGATCACTTAGGACTTTCAAGGGTTGTAATGAGGCCTTGGGGAAAAATTGGGGCACAAGAAAAGAAGGATAAGCGATACAAAGTGGGTTGTTCCGAGTGCATGACATTTATTTCAAAAACATCTCCCTTTTCATGGGATTTTTATTCTTACACCATCACCACACTCCTTGTTTCTTTTCTTTCTTTTCCTTAACATTTTCCTTTTCTTTTGTCATTCTTTTCTTCTTTCACCCCCATTTTCTTCCTTTTCTTGGATTTTCATTATTTTCCATTGAAGTCTTTGAGTTGCAACATCATTCATCCCTTTGTTTGAGTTTCCACACCACCTTTCCTTTACTTTTGCAATCACTCATATTTAGCTTCAAGGAACGACCAAGGTAAGGTAGACATTTCTTATTTTCATTGGCTTGATCAAATGTGTGGCAAAGAAACGAATTTAAATTAGGCTCAATCACGGCACTAGGGATAATCTTTGCACAAGAAAAAGGGTTAAGGCTCAAAGTATTTCAAAGATGGCCTAAAATCACTTCCAGCTATGCATGGGATGGCATTGTATAATCGAAACAAGTCAGTCTACTATCCAGATGCACCTAACCAAAACAGGTTAACCCAAAAATTGTTCTTTGAGTAAATGTAAGTTCTCTCCAAACAAGGATTGACATTAAAGCTCACATGGGTTCTTACTCATCTCCACTACTTATGCCAAGCCTCAAACATGAATCCAATCCCTAAATTGTTGAAATTACACATTCAAAGGTCACATATAGTTGAGTTTAAAAATCAATACAAATGTGATACTCATGCATAGGGTAAGTTTTCATGGTATGCTCATGTGCTCAAAGTTCACAACAAAGATAAATATGTCATCCAATCCACAGAGTCTTCATAAGGGAATACAGATCAAATTTTAGATATTTTTCATCTAAAATTTTCACATATTTTTTACTAATGCAAGCAAACATCTGTACCCTAAAAATTTTTCCAAACAACATTGGTATATCATGCAAATGGTGCACCTCACCCCTCAACTTGAATCATGCATTGTTCTCAATGCACCAAAAAGATACGATATGCAATGAAGGACAGGAAAAAGATGAGCAGGGTTAGAGAGCACCTCATAAATGAGCTTTTGACAAAAGCACCAAGATCTGAAATGAAGAAAATCAATACTATACAACCAAAGAAAGTAAGTGACATGAGATAAAAATAACATAGGGAAACAAAAGCAATTGTACACTAGAAAGCATAAACACTAGTTACTCCTCCCCCAAGTCTGGATAGACCAGGTCAATCAAATATTCCTTCACTTCTTTCCCAGCAAAATCCTCAAAGAATGGCTTAAGTCGTTAGCCATTGACCTTGAATTCTTGGCCATTCTCAAGATTTGTGATTTTAACAGCTCCGTTGGGGTAGGCCACCTTTACGAGATAGGGGCCATCCCAACAGGATCGAAGTTTACCCTGAAAAATTGAGAGGCGAGAAATGTATAAGAGCACTTTTTTCCCGGACTCAAATGATTTCCTCATGATGGAGTTATCATGAATGAATTTGGCCCTTTCTTTTAAGATTTTGGAGTTCTCATACGCATCTCGTCGAATCTTTTCTAACTTATTTAGCCCTAACGTCCTATGATCACCGGCCATTCTCAAATTAAAATTTAAAGTCTTAATGGCCTAATAGACCTTGTGTTCAATTTCGACTGGTAGGTGGCAAGCCTTTTCATAGACAAGTCGGTAGGGAGACATGCCTAAAACAGTTTTAAAAGTAGTGCGGTGTGCCCAGAGGGCATCGGTCAATCTATCGGACTAGTTCTTCCTGCTTGGGTTAACCATTTTTTCTAGAATGTTCTTGATCTCCCTATTGGCTAGATCGGCCTGGCCATTTGTTTCTGGGTCATAGGCAATGGATACTTTGTGAGTGACGCCATATTTGAACACTAGATACGCAAATGGCCCATTACATAAATGTGATCCACCATCACTTATTATGGCACGAGGCATCCCAAATCTTAAAAAGATGTTCTTCTTGAGAAACTTGACTATGACCCGGTGGTCATTAGTCTTGGTCGGGATAGCCTCCACCCAGTTGGACACATAGTCCACTGTCAGGAGGATGTACAAATAACCAAATGACATAGGGAAAGAAACCATGAAGTCGATGCCCCAATAGTCGAATATTTCTATGACAACTATTGGTGAAAGGGGCATTATATTTCTTTGGGTCACACTACCTAACTGTTGGCATATGTCGCATCCCTTACAAAATGAAACACAATCTTTGATAAGAGAGGACCAGTAAAAACCTGATTGAAGAATTTTGGCTAAAGTCTTTTTTTTGTCGAGAAATGTCCACCACAAGCTTGTGAATTGCAAAATGCAAGGACGTTCCGCTTTTCATTTTCAGGTATGCATCTCCTTATGATTTGGTCGGGGCTGTACTTGAACAAATACGAGTTGTCGAAGTAGAAGTACTTCACATCCGCCATAAATCGTCTTCGATCTTCTGGGCTCTATTGTAGTGGTATCTGTCCTGTTGTAAGATAGTTACATATATCGGCATACCAAGGACATACATAATGAATTGAAAACAAATGATTGTCAGGGAAAGAGTCAGGGATAGGAATGTGCTCATCGGCCTCTTGCATCACAAGCCAGGATAAATGATCCGCCACCACGTTCTCAACTCCCTTCTTGTCCTTGATCATCAAGTCCAATTTTTGTAGGAGGAGTATCCACCTAATGAGTCTCAGTTTTGCATCCTACTTGGACAACAAATACTTCAAAGTATAGTGATCAGTAAAGACAACAATAGGCAAACCAATGATGTAAAAATATAACTTATCTAAGGCAAACACTATTGCTAGCAACTTTTTTCTCGGTGGTAGTGTAATTCATATGAACCTCACTAAGTGTTTTGCTAGCATAGTGTATCACAAATGGACTATTTCCCCCCTTTGACCGAGCACTACGCCGATCGCGTAATCACTCACGTCGCACATGAGCTCAAAAGGTAGATCCCAATTAGGTGATCCCATGATCAGAGGTGTGACTAGCATGCTTTTAAGTTTTTTAAAGGATGCCTCACAATCATCCGACCACTCAAATGGGACCTCCTTAGACAGCAGCTTGGTCAAGGTTGAAGGCTCCTAGCGTGGGGAGGTTGGAGATGGCCTCCACCTTGGATTTCTTAACTTCAATATCTCTTGCCGAAACTATATGGCCAAGCACAATTCCTTTTGTCACCGTAAAGTGACACTTTTCCCAATTCAAGACTAGATTCCTTTCCTCATATCTTGTCAAAACTCTCTCCAAGTTTTTCAAACATCCCTTGAATGAATCCCCAAACACCGACAAGTCATCCATAAGCGACATCCACTATCTTTTCCACCATGTCACTGAAAATCCCCATCATACAGCATTGAAACATCCCCAGAGCATTGCATAGTTCAAATGGCATGCGGTGGTAGGCAAAAGTACCATAGGCGCACGTGAAGGTGGTCTTCTCTTGATCCTCCAATGCAATCTCGATCTAATTGTAGCTGGAGTATTCATCTAAAAAGTAGTAGAATAGATACCCCGCTACTCATTTTAGAACTTGATCGAGGAATGGCAATGGGAAGTGGTTTTTTCTTGTGCCAGCATTCAGCTTTCGATAATCAATGCACACCCTCCATCCGGTGATCACTCTTATAGGTATAAGCTCATTCTCATCATTCTCAACCACAGTAACTCCGGATTTCTTAAATACTACTTGTGTGGGGGACTAACCCACTCACTATCAGCGATTGGAAAATTGATCCCCACATCAAGTAGTTTTAGAACCTCATCCCTCACCACCTCATTCATGATGGGATTCAACCGTCTTTGTGGTTAACGGGAAGGTTTGGAATCATCCTCAAGATATA